TGCAAAGAGTGATGTCAATTTCGTGGTAACAGGTGTCGATAATGTTTACTTCTTACTAGCATACGTCCCACCAATAATGCTTTCTGTGTCAAGTCCTGATTGTCTGGTTCGACTACCTCCACCAATATGCCGACGATCTATTCTAACCTTTATAATACCCTCAAAGTGACTCGGTAGTACTGGATCTTCCTATACGATCACCTTATAGGCGGCAAACTTTGTCTTGAGATTTGACATTACTGTCTCCTGTCTATCGATGGCTCTGTTTCAATTTTTAATTTCCACGTTGCATTCTCCGTGCATTGGTGAAATTTCTCCGGTAGCTATAGTCTAGATCAGTCTTCTTGACAAAGTGTATGAAACCCTATGACAACAGCAACAAAAATATTTTCCTCATTAATCTGAGGAAATTTGTAGAGGTTAAAAAAATCGAAAAATGATTTCAAATTAATATTTCTTGTCAAAGGTCGAATTCGCCGTGCTGATACCACATCAGATCAAACGGTAGTGTTGAATGCCCCTGTGTCGATAATCATTCTAGCATTTCGCTGATTTATAGATCCTTCTATGAGTAATGGATTAGTTCCGAGCAATCTTAAAATGATGGCTTCTTTGGGAGCTTGGCGAGGATGAGCCATTTTGCGCCCCATAAAGTTGGCTGATTTTAGTTTTCTGATTGCCGTGGTTAAGGGGCCAATTCACCCATTCACTATTTTACCCACCGCATATAATAAGGAAAAATTGTTGCTGCAGTCACTCCCTTACTAGCAATCGAATCCGGACCCCTGGTTTTATGCTCCAGTACTCAATCACTAATTTACCAGGAGGTAACAGCAGCAAAACCGACGATACCTCCCTAAGAGTATAGGTCTCAGAATCGTCGAACTAATGTATAATCTTTATTATTAATGAGACACTTTTGAACTTTTGTAGCCTTAATTCAATGGATTAGTGGATTCACTAATAAACGATTCTGCATGGTAGAGTACTGATAAACCAGGGGGCCGGGTTCGATTCCCGGCAAGGGAGTGATACGATTAATAATTTTTTCCTCGTCAGTTTGAGAATTCACTCATTCATTGAATAAACGCTACATAAATTTAAATGTATCTCACACTTTGTCTCTTCTTCGCTCCTTCTACCATGCTCTGTATCGTCTCGTAACTCGATCTCAAACTACTTACTCTTTCAATCTCGCCGGGACTCTTTAGAGGGGCTGATCATGTTCTAGAATGACACAGAATATGACGTCTAGAAAATGTAGTCTTTTTTAACACTTGCATGTTGGCTTGCTTACATACATGTGACAATGTCATACATTTCGAAAATATTGATTCGGTTACTATTCCGCTAATTCTAAGCATGTGCCTCGCTATACAACCAGAGAAGGAGCTCCAGATAAAGTATAACAAGTTGTTTTGGTATTACGTAATTGAAGGCCATGGCTCATGTCATTCTAAATTACCTCTACTGGGTTTCTAGTAATTAGAAACAAATCAGCAAAATATCTGAATATTATGCAAAAAAGAAAAGTTGTTTTATTTGTGGTATAAACGCTGAAGAGACTGACTGTGAATGCCAGTTACTGTGACTTACATAAAATGGTATTGTGGTGTTACGAATAAGCAATTTGAAAGTTATTAATCACCTATGCGACACCTCGTATACTCTAAAAACCCGGATTAGTTGGTCTACATTTCTGGTAACCCATTGGAGTTAGTCATACAAAGTGCGTATTCGTCTTGCAGCATCGAGAATTACATTGAAAGTGACAAAGGTTATCTACAGGCCTTCGATTGTTCTATTCTGATGAATTGACTAAGAATAGCTTTATAAAACAATTTTAGGGAATGCCTAGTGGGTATTGTGCCCCTTCCGTTCCTACAGACTAGAAATTATGTGAGTGTAATACTGAGGATAATGAATAGAGTGTTATTTGAACAAGAATATCTACCAATAGCAGGTTCATCTTTATTTGTGAAGTATCAAAATGTGTTATCGGAAGATTAAACTGTTTTAGATACATATATGTAAAGTCAATTTCCTGTTTATTGTAAATGGATGGCCGACGCAATTTTCAACTAACTCGATTTCACCATATTACAAGCTGACTCAGAAAGTCCCAATAAACGTAATAGATGTTAATTGATTTCTCTCCTGGTTCAAAATTGTCTGTGATAAACATCAAATGGATTTTAACAGAGATTGATTTAAACCACTTAAATAAGTTTATACTGCCTATATCGGAATATTTCATGTACGCGCTTAAATTGCAACATTTGTTATTGGTACATTACAAAATAAATAAAACGAACATATCAGTGTTAGAAAACTTTGTACCTATACATAACTTTAATCAACACAAATGCAAATTGTTTTCAAAACTCTGTTTTAATACCTACTTAAAATTATTTGGGTTCTAATAGTTTACAATCATTAAATTTTTTAATAGACTATCAGAAGCCAGCTCACACATATTGGTTCTCGAATTTTCCAGAACTTTCTCGATTCATCCGGTCCAGTCACTCTATAGAATTGTACCTGTGGTCCATTTTGGACATTTGAGAACATGCTAGTCGAGGACTACGCTAGCAATGTTCTTGAGAACATTCTAATTCGTTCTTATTTATTTTGGAAAGGTGTTCGGTGGCGGTTGGTTGATCGCAAACCCATATACCTACATAGCAAACTTGACAAATCATAATCATTATAGATAATTCCAGACATTTTTAGAACATTTTGATCGAAATGTACATATAATGCCCTAACATAGTGTTAAATGTCATTCCCACCATTCACACATAATGCTCCTTAAATATTCTAGTACTTTCTCGATTTTTCCGGACGACTTCACTTTAGAACTTTCTAGTTGTAGACAATCTTAGACTTTCTAGCTGAACATTCAAGAATATTCTAGTAAGTACATTCTCACTTGTTGTAAACGGGTGTTTGGTGGTCGGTGGTAGACCCGCAAACCTACACACTCACCGAATCGGAGAAATATGAAGGTGCCCTAGATCGACAACTTTTAACCATCATTTACACTTACACCACCACAGCTACCGACATGTGAAATATACGGTCACACATGTTTTCTATTGTTTGTATTTAAATATATTGACTGTTTGCAAATGCTTTGGAAATTGCTGCAAAAAAACACAAAATCAATGATAAGATTTATTATAAATATAATCACTTTGTTTCTTCTTTGTGACTAAATAATACGATATTATCCGACAATAACACCAATGAATTGATATTGTGCTTAGTAAATACCCTTCTTCAAACTGGCAACCTAGACACCCACCAAAAATTTCTTATTAACTTAGTTCTGGAGCACTTTTTGAGTAAATAGATACGTATTTCATTTGAGCTTATATTCTTCGTAGCTATATTTCTAATATAGTTTAAAAATGCAATAAATGAATAGCCACCGGTTTCTCGCCGCCACAATTGACAACAGAAATGGTCCAAGTGCGCTAGCAGATTATGTGTCGATACACCCTTCATTTTCTTTACAATTTTTACTTTCGAGTTCAACCAGGACCTTTAAATACTTACCCTGTGTATTAGGGTACTTCAAACAAAATTTTTAATTTTTTTTTCTAACTCTTACCCCCTCAAATGTTGCTATTTGATGTAAAAACAGTCCTCGTCTAACATGAGCCCTATAGCTCAAATCTAAAGGGTTGCTATTTTTATTTTAGTTTCCCATTTAATTAGCATAGGAAAAAATTCTTTTTTGTTTTAAATTGAATTTACACATAATTTACGCAAAATAACCGTTTCATATTCTCAAAGTTGAGTCTTTGACCTTTACAAAACTCTAAGACAAAGTATGATTATCTTTACAAAAGGACTAGTTACAGCAATTTAAAAATTACTAAATTTTGAAATTTGAAAAAATAGCTTGCAATTATTTGTGACAATGTCATACATTTC